TTGAATTAGTTTTTGTTGTCGAATGCCATTGAGTTGGTTTCGACCCATAGCGATCCTATATAGGGTTTCTGAGGAGTGACTGATGAGCTTGAACCACCGACCTGGCAGTTCAAATGACTTTGCAGTCTGGCGCATTAACCCACAGTGCCACACCAGGATTTCTATACAGGGTCACTGTGAGTCAGAACTGACTTTCTAACACCAAAATAAACAGCAGCATAACTGAAAGGTTGGTGGTTCAAACTTACCAACCACTCCATAAGCGAAAAACAAGGCTAGCTGTTCCCATAAATATTGAGTCTTAGAAACCCTGTGAGTTGGAACTGACCTCATGACAGTGGGCTTCAGCATATCTGAATAGGGTGACTTCAGAACTAAATAGGACATTCATTATAAATTTTTTCATTTCCACCTTTCTAAAGGCAGTCAGCCCTTTCAACGTGCTATTTGAATAACAAAAAAAATCCATTTCTAACCTATATGAAGAACTGTTTCTTAAGTGCTGTTGAGTAGGTTCTGACTCATAGTGACCTTATTTCCAAGGAGCAGCTGGTGGGTTTGAACCGCCAACCTTATGTGTGTAGTCCAGTGCTGATCCTACAGCACTACACCAGGAGGTGGCGGTGGTGGTGATATGCTGTGGAGTTGGTTCCAACTCATAGTGAGGGTTTCCAAAGCTGTAAATCTTTACAGGAGCAGAAAACCTCATTTTTCTCCTGCGGAACAGCTGGTAGTTTCGAACTGCTGACCTTGTGGTTAGCAGCCAGCCTTGCCACTATGCTACCAAAGCGCCTTGTTGTTGTTAAGTGCCGTCGAGTTGATTCTGACCCATAGCAACCCTGTATAGGGTTTCTGAGGGGCAGCTGGTGAGCTTGAACTGCCAACCTTGCAGTTCAAACCGCTTTGCAGTCTGGCGCATTAACCCATAGTGTTTGTTAATCTTGCCATCTTAACTGCTGCAGGAAGCACCAGGTGATTTTGTCTTAATTATCATCCCTTATCATCCCCTTCCCCCCAAGTAAAGAATGTTTTGCATTTCAAGTCTTCAAGTTAAGAGTTAACCTTCTCTTTTTAACCTACTGAATCAGTTCTACATTTCAAGGACTTCAACTAGAACCTGATCTACATTCTATCACAACAGCTATTATTTAACTATCTATCTCTGTGAGCTTGTCATCTTTAAACCATTCTCCTTAATGTGGTGGTGAACCTTAGAAAAACTGATGTGTCTGTGAAGATAATGACTATATTATGAACTGCTAGGATTACACATTTGTCTCAGAAGAAGCACATCAGAATGCTCCTTAGCAGGAAGGATGACAATACTTGGTCTCATGTAATTCAGACCTGTTGTCAGGAGAGAGGAGGACACCAGGCTTGGTAAGGTAGAGGGTCAGTGAAATAAGAGGGAAAACTCCCAAAGAGATGGATTAACAGTGACTACAACATAACAATTGTGAGGATGGCACAGAGCAGGGCAGGCAGTGTTTTCTTCTGTTGTACATATGATTGTTAGAAGTCAAAATCAACTCTATAGCACCTAACAACAACATATGCGATCACAGGATACCCGTATCACAGTGTGCTTTAGAAATTTTGCCTTAGTCAAATTTTTTCAGGAGATAAGAATTAATGTCTAGGTAAGAATTGTGAAGAAATGTGTGATATGACAACTTATAAATTCCTTCCTTCTCCAGCACTTCTCTTTAATGTGAAATGTCACCCATATAAAAACTGGCTGTTTCTCCTACAAAGGAAGATAGTTGAGCATTTTCTACAAAGATGCCCTATAGACTCCATTTTATGGAATGCAACTATTCCTTCAATAAAATATTTTTATTTTCTTATGGAGGCTCTGTCTAGTGCTTTCACTAAGATCCTAAACATGTTGTTGTTAGGTGCTGTTGAGTCAGTTCCGACCCATAGCAACCCTGTATAGGATATAGGATTTCTGCAGTAGATCAGGAAATTAGAAACAAAAAAGTTATGAAATGGTAGAAACAAATAATTGTAAATAAAGCCAGCAAAATCAAAATGTAAGAAAAATACAAGTCTGAAGCCTGTAAAATTGGGGAAAACAATTTATAATGACAATCCTAAATTACCAAGTTAAAATATTTTAATGTCTTCTAAGAAAGCAATAAAGACATGATCCATTTAATACTTTTGTTAAAATGTTAATGAAATGTTAGTTCTTAATGAGTTAAGTTTCGGTTATCTGGAGTTTTATTTATAGGATATGTTCTTTTTCATGGGAATGCCAGAAAGTTAGGCCTGTAATAAGAGCTTCCTAATTTCAACAAAGCAAAACAAAAAGTTTCCAATTTCCACTGAGCAAGGGCAAAACAGGTTTGTATGGGAGTAACTGCTGTTGTTAAGTCAGTTGTTGTCAAGTGTCATCCAACCCATAACAACCCTGTATAGGGTTTCTGAGCAGCAGCTGGTGAGCCTCAACCGCTGATCTTACATTTCAAATTGCCTTTGCTGTCTAGCACATTAACCTACAGCCACACCAGGGCCTCTCGAGTTGGTTCTGACCCATAGTGACCCTGTATAGGGTTTCTGAGAAACAGGTGGTGAGTTTAAACCGCAGACCCTTGAGGTTCACATTGACTTTGCAGTCCAGCACATTAACCTATACTCTGTATAGGGTTTCCCAGGAGCAGCTGGTGGGTTTGAACTGCCAACCTCGTGGTTTGCAGTCATGGCTGATCCTACTCTGTCTGTAACACCAGGAGTCCACATGGAAGTAGTAAGAATTTGATTTTCCATCAATTTTATATATTATAAAGAATCCTGATATATACAACTTACATATCACGTAATGATAAAATGGAATTATCTGCTTGTTAAATCTGATGTACTGATTTTAATGTGATTTAAATCATCAGAGAATTAAGAATTAAGTCACATGCAATATAAATATTGAGAGTTTACTTTAAAAATCTGGATTATTTTTATAGTGTCCAAAAAATCATATTGAAGCAGACACTAAAAATCTACAGTCTAAACTTTTTATAAATGTAAAACTTGGGACACTTTGGGACAAGTTCCATTTTTTAATATCAAAACTTATACAACACAGAATACTTTTTAACTGTTTAAATGTTTTTTAAAAAGCAACCCTATATGATGGTCTGATAATAAAATACATGATCACTAAACAGTTCTGAATATTTAAGAATAAGACTGCAAATGAAAGTTCCTCAGTCGTCCACAGTTCATGCCTGCCAGCCCCTCCACAGAAAAAAGATGAAGCTTTCTGCTGCTGGAAAGGTTTAAAAGCCTTGAAACCCCTATACAGGGTCGCTATGGGTTGGAACCAACTAGAAGACACTTAGCAACATCAACAACAACATCTTGACTTTAGATAGTAGTCTTTGTATGTCAAAAAATCCTTCTAAATGGTTTTTGCAAAGGGCTAGGTAAAAATACTACTTCTTTAGATTACCAGTCATTTCACTCAACTTCTAATCAGAGGGCTTCATTGTATTTGCTACCATGGTTTGAACTTTAATTTAGCAGTGAAACATCTGCAAGTCTAACACTAACTAATGTTATACTTGCTTTATATTACATTGTTGTTGTTGGTGGTATTGCCGTCAAGTTAGTTCTGACCCATAGTGACCCTGTATAAGGTTTCCAAGGAGCAACTGATGAGACTGAACTACTGACCTTGTGGCTGAAATGGACTTTCCAGTCCAGCGCATTAACCCACAGCACCACACCAGGACTCCCTATATTACATTATAAAAAGGTGAATATACTTTAGAAACGTGCATTATATTTTCATTTTAAAAACGTTCACAAACTATAAAATAGGTATTTAAAGTGTTTATTGTTTTATAATCAAAAGTTTTCTTTCCATAGTAGAATGGCAATGCTGTATCAGTGCAAATCCTATGGAAAATTCATACAAGTAACTAGCCTAAAAATCAGAGACAGCGCTATGTCAAGCTAGTGCGCAAGATTAAAGACACAATGCTGTCAATGCAGTTAGTATACTGGAAGAATACGCAGCTGTTAGAAAACGAGTATATGGCCAAGTACTGTGAAGAAACACTAGCAGTGCACTGCACTGACATTCTAGAAGAACAGAAAATGGGAAAGGTACAGAGAATGCACTTCCTGCAAACAGCAAGTAGATCACAGACCCAAAGTTCCCAACTGTATCACCAGCTGTCCAATTCCTGGGTACCTGAACTTTTCCTTTTTGTAGGATCACTACAGTCTATTCCAGTGTAACACTGCCAAGTCAGAATTTTCAGCCTTCTGTGGAAATGTTACAGCCACATGCATGTTAATTCCCTTCCCGCTTCCCATCTCACAGCTCAAAGTAACAACCTGGGTTAGGCATAAAAACTGTGGCTTTAGGCAATTTTAATTAAAAAGCTGAACAAACCCAAAATTTGTTCCCATTTTCTTAAGAAATAAACTTCATAAAACAACAGAAGTTAGCGGTCATGATTATTCACTTTTGTCTAATGGTGAAATAATTTTTACATAAGAACAATGAATAAACACAAACAAATACCCTTAACAAAATACTAGCAGATCAACTTGAACATTGTCATAACTAGCTCCTGAAAAATTACTGGTAATTGTGAGTGAAATGCAAATGACTTGTCTGATCATGTCTGGGTACTAGAAATTTTTTGGTCAGGCTTGTGTCTGAAGCTGCTATCCAGCTGATTTGTCTACTTTGCATTAATTCACAAAATAAATGCTTTTTATAAGGAAATAGCTGATGTATCATGAGAAATCAAAATCAATAGCGGAGAAAGATACAGGAAATTTGTTTTAAATATTTTTAAATTACACATGATCTAATCTTAGAGAAGAACAACTACAACTACCATGGTCTAAATCTTAAATTGTTAATGCATGAATTATCTGCAAGACTAACAACTCTTCTTGTTAATCCTGGCAAGGCTTTGTGGGGGAGGGGCACTCAATGTACGGCACAGCAATTATTTTCCAGGGAAGCTAAACACTTCTCATTTTAAGTGTTATTAAACTGTTTTTGAAAAGTTATTTTACTTAGTATATACAATGTATAAAATAAGCTAAAAGGCGGAATTAGGGAAAGGCTTCCTTGTATATATGAGGCAAACACACAACTTTCCCTCATCAGTAGTTCCACGTATGTCCATTTCACCCATGGTAAAACACGAAAGGCTGATAGGAAAGAAAAAATATCACTTATAAATAGAAACAGGATTTAAAAAAAAAGGAATTTCAATGGTTTCTTCCCACAATGCAACTCACTCTTTCTAGTTTAACTATAAAGAAACATACAAACTGTATCTCAAAAGTCAGTTTCACACCCTTACTTTAAGTTTAATAAACTCTTCTTACAATTAAGAAAAGCACTCCTTTGTAGCAATTCCATAAAATACTTCTCAATTCATAAAACACCTGCTATTAGTAAAACCTTCAACCCTTATTGAGGGCATGGGCATTAATACTTGGCCCCTCTGAGGTATAAATGCAACTGTTATTTGCACTTAATATATATTCTGTAAGATATGCCAATGGTCTGCATGTCTGCATAAAGTTGGGAGTGATGGCATCCTGACTGATTGGAAACATTTTTATAACATTTTATGATAATGGAGGTTAAGTAATTTTTTTAAAAAAGATGTACTTTAACCCAATAATACAGCCAGTCAAATTCTGAATTCCTAACTAATGCAAATGGTTATAACATTTAAAAAGTGTTTAACATTGTATATTGATTTAAAAAAAAAACAAACAACCCACAAAACTGAACAGGAAAAATATATAAATATTTAAATTCAGCAGGACACCACAAAAAGCATACTGTAGGTAAGTGTGTAATCAGTCAAACTTTTTCAACAAGAAAAAAAACACCGTTTTAATCCTTCAGTAAGTTTCTGTGAATACAGTATGCTTACAATAAAAGTGAAAAGGGAGCACCTACAATACCCCCAAGAGGCTTGCTATACCACTCAGCATTATTGCCCAACTTCCTGCTTGTGTGGATGGCAACAAATGACAAGTTCATTTTTTGATAGTTCAGCGATTCCTTTTCACCACTGCTGCCAGCTGAAGTCATCATTGCTTCCGAAGACCAAGAAAAAGCCTAGTATAGTCGCGAAGATAACTGTGTTTCCTGTGAGAACAAGTGCACAAGCTCCCCACTCAATCTACAGAAATAAGATAGAAACATCCAGTTAATTGACATATTGTGAAAAATAAAGACTCTAGTTGTATGCCAATCATGAACTAAAACAAATACAATTTCAAGTAATAACCCTCACATTACTGAACACGTACATGGTACTTGTATATGCTAAACAAAAACCCAAACCCAGTGCCATCCAGTCAACTCTGACTCACAGAGACCTTATGTATAAGGTTTCTGAGGTTGTTCATATTCATGTACATCCTTTAAAAGGTGCAGGGAGCATTATCCTTCACTCCATATGGAAGGGTAGTCCACTCAGAGATTGATGAGTGAATTGGATGGTGAGTTTGAAGGGAAGGTCTGAGGATGCAGCTTAGCCCCTTCTCCTGTTTGGTCCTTTCCCAGCTGCAGAAAGCATGCAGTCTCATCAGGTCTGCCACATTTTCAGTTTTACAAGACAGGCCTTCTGGGTGCTCAGCACTGGGTGAGTTGATGTGCCGAACCCTGAGAGTGAAGCACTGGCAAATCAACTGCTGCTGCAGACCGCCATGCTCTTCAACAGCATTTTAATCAGTTATCAAAGATGAGAGACATAGCTGTTTAACAAAAGTTTTTTGTTGAGAAAAATTTAAGAGTCTAATGTAAAATCATTCATAGGAGATTATCCAATAAATTTATCACTTACCAGATGTGCTCTGGCAAAAACAATAGGGAGTCCAAAAGCTGAGACAACAATACCTGTTGTAAGAAATATGGCAAGTTCCTTACAAGCATTGCTCATAGCATCTGTATCATCCACTAATCTTCTTGCTATGCAGTATGGAATAGGTGACAGGATGTAAAAAAACAGAACAAAGAGGGGCCAGTATTGGCTAGAAAAAGGAAAATAAGTTAATGTAGTTTTTGCTATTCATGTCATTTTCCTATATACAAAATATGCTTGTTCTAAAATAAGACACAGGGAATGTTGCAAGGTACTGAATAAACATGATACAGTGTAAAAAAAACCTGAACAATGTAAAGGGAAATAATGTTTTGAATTACCGTATTCTTAAAATAAATGAAAACTATATATATATATACACACACACATACACACATTTATTTATAATATTAAAATAAAATGCTTTTTAATTTAGAATAATAGTTGGAATCCAGGCCCAAAATTGAAAATATTTTTCTTCATGTTAGATTATAAAGAAGCATACAGAGAACAAGAAAATAGAGGGATTCTTAAAACTCAATTCATGTCGCTGGTTTCTAATACCAATACATAAATATTCTGACTTAGCAGCCAAAACAACCCCACCCACCAAACACATACTTTCCTTAAGTCAGTAGAAATTCCCCAAATACTATAAATGAAATACAGAAAACTAATTGAAAGTAATAGCTCTGGTAGTGTGGTTACGAATCGGGCTGTGAACCGTAAGGTCAGCAGTTCGAAACTACCAGCTGCTCCGCGACAGAAAGATGAGGCTTTCTGCGCCTGTAAAGATTTACAGCCTTGGAAACCCTGTTCAGGGTCGCTATGGGTCGGAACCGACTCGACGGCACATAACAACAACAACATTCAGAGTACAGAATTCATCCTAATAAAAACAGATGGTTTTCAGTATGTAGTCCAGTTAACTGTATTGTGCTAATATCATTTCCTGGTTCTAACAACATATCACAGTTACATAAGATGTTACCAAGGGGGAAACTCTGTGAAAGTACAGGGGACTCCTATTTATTATTTTTGCAAATTCTTTAACTTATTTTGAAATAAGAAAAAATAGATACCCTTTAAAAAATTGCTGTAAAATAAAATATACATCATGATAAAGATTTGCTTGTACTTAGTGGCTTAAGAGGCTTTCTGCTTCTGCAAAGATTTACAGCCTCAGAAACCCTTTAGGGGTTGCTACGTGTTGGAATTAGCTCAGTGGCACTTAAAACAACTGTGGTTTATTAAACAAACCTTTCCCTGTTTTCCTAAATATAAAATAACAAAAATTCAGATGGAATATATGCACAAAGTAAAAAAATTCAAATACAAAAACAAAATAGTGAAAACTACAAGTTCTCCACATTGGCCCAGCTTTCTTTCCTTCTTTTCTACTGACCTTCTTGCATCACTCCATATTTCCACATTAAAAAAAAATATTTAAAATATAATGGGTCATTTCATTTTTTTCATGTATCTTAAACACCAATACTCTTCCTCCTTTTAAGACTGCCTATTAAATTCATAGATGTATAATAATTTAACCATTTTTCTTCTGATGGACTCAGGATACTTTGAGATTTTTTTGAGGGGGAAGAGGAGGGGGACTGTGGTATTTTCAATAACCTCTTATGTATCTGAAAGGCAGCAGAAGAACTGATGCATTTGAGTTATGGTATTGGAGAATATTAAAAATGCCAGAAGAACCAACAAATCTGTGTTGAAATAAGTACAGCCAGGAATGCTCGTTGAAAGCCAGGATGGCCAGATTTTGTCTCTCATACTTTGGACATACGGTCAGAAGGGACCAGTCCCTGGAGGATTATTAGGTTTAGTAAAGTAGAGGGTCGGAGAAAAAGAGGAAGACCGATCGTGAGGTTGGCGCTGGACTGGCAGTGTTTCATTCTGTTGTGTGTAGGGTCGCTATGAGTCGGTACTGACTCAAAGCACCTAACAACAATTAAAAACAAGGAGTCCTGGTGTGGTGCTACAGGATAAAGACTGCAAGGTGGGTCCGAATCACAAGAATGGTGATTCAAGCTCACCAGCCACTCCTTGGAAACCCTATACAGGGTCACTGTGAGTTGGAATCCACTCAATGGCACTTAACAACAACAACATTATAAACAAGGCTGCCATTTCCCTACTCTTTCCTCACAAACGTATCTTGGAAAACGTTCCACAAGAACATTTTCATGAGAAATTCTAAGGCCTAGTTCAAAGAATATATACATTTTGAGAGGTATAAGCAAATTGGCCTCCAAAGTATGACAATATAGGATAAGAACTAGACAACTAACTGTAAGGTCAGAGGTTCAAACCCACCATCTGTTCTTCGGAAATTATACAGGGTCACTATGAGTCCGAACTGACTTGATGGCACATAACAATTTATACTACCATCTACAGTATGTAACAATGCCTATTTGCCCACATCTTTTTACCTTTACTGATAATCATTAAATCATTATAAATTTATAGTGTTTTAAATATTTGCTATTTTTCTAATGAGTTGTTCATCTTTCTATTAAATTTAGAAAGTTTTATCTATCCTATGAGGTTTATATTAACATTACCCAAAGAATATGGTCTTTGTTCTCATTTGCTGAGATTCTCTCTTTCTCTTTCTCTCTCTCTCTATATATATACAATTTTTAAAGTATCTCTGATAAAGGATTCTAGTTCACACCTAACAAACAGGTGAGGTGATAAAATGCCTCTGGGGTGGGGGGCTGGCCAGGCCTGGAAGACTCAATATCTTGTGATTACTGGTGATACCCACCAACCTCAGGAGAGGAAGGCTCCAGTTTGTTGACAGAACGGGATCCCTAATAAAAACTGTAAACACAGAAGGTCCATGGGCATCCTGGTTGGCAAGAGTCATCCATGTATGTAGGAGGACAGCATATCCCTGAGACGTGGAAGCTCTGTATTGGAAATCCTCTCAGACCTCATTCCATGAGTCTTTTTAGCTGTAGCTTTTTTTGCTACTATAAAGCTGTAATGGTAAGTACTAAGATTTCTGAATTTTATGAGTCATTCTAGCTAGCAAATTTTCAAACCCAAAGAATAGTGGGAGTCAGGAGGTCAGAAGTGAGGGGGATAGAAACCTCTGAGCTTATGACTGGTATACTGAGGGCGTAGAGGGAATATATAGCTCACAGGTCATAAGTGAGGAATCTTGGGGAGTCTCCAAGCTTGTGGCTGGAATCTTGTAAGAATAGCTGGAATACTTTGAACTTTCAGACACCAAGTTAGAATTACAGGTTCCCAAGCTTGCAGCTAAGGAGCTCTGGTAGCATAGTGGTTACAAACCAGGCTGCTAACTTCAAGGTCGGCAGTTCGAAACTACCAGCGGTTCCGTGGGAGAAAGATGAGGCGTTCTGCTCCCGTAAAGATTTACAGCCTCTGTTACCCTGTGCAGGGTCATTATAAGTTGGAACCGACTCCATGGTACTTAACAACAACAGCAAGCTTGCAGCTGGCTTGTGAAGTATTGGGCTGACTTGGCAGTCCGAAGGATGGTATCCTTTTAACTTGTGAGATCTGACCTAGCTTAAGGTGGCTAGGGTCAGAGAAAGAAATGCTGCATAATTATCAGAACTGAGAAAAGAGAAGCGAAAAAGTGATGGATTTTTAAATTATGTTAATTTGAGCTTTCCAACACAAAGCAAATCCTAGGCCAAGTAATTCTTTCATGAACTTATGTCTTATGACCCAACTGATAGTCCCTTTTGCTAAAAAGTTTGTAATTTCCATGTGTCTGCTTTTATCAATAAAACCAACTGGTGCTGAGCTGAGTCTGACTCATGGCAACCCTGCGTGTATGTCACAGTAAAACTATCTATCTGGTTTTTAGTGGCTGATTTTTTAGAAGTAGATTGCCAGGCTTTCTTCTGAGGAGCCCCTGGGTGGGCTCAAATCTCCAATATTTTTGTTAAAAACTCAGTTCCTTAATCATTTGTCCCATCCAAGGACTCCTAATTACTCAAATCCAAGCAAAAGGGATGTGGCTAGAGTGTTATCCTGCCATTGTAGACATAGAAGTCCTTAAGAAGCTGGTAAGAGTTCAAAAGTCTATACCTTGGCATCCTAAAATCTTTACAAATTTTAAATGATGAACTTTAAAAAATGTCTGTGGATGGTAAATAAACATTTTTTTGCAATACTTAACTGTTGTAGACCATTTCTTTTAAAACTTTAGACATGAAAAATTTTCACCCTTAAACACTCAAAAAAGACAATTTTACATACTTGTATATTGGAAGGGCACATCCAAGCATCAAAAACATCAGCCCAATTGCTCCTCCAAAGGACAAACTAATCAAAGCTGCAAAACAAAGAGAGTCAAATGGAAGTATCAATTAGTTGAATTAACTTTCAGTTAGAATAGTAACAGCTTAAACATTACTTGTAATTCTAGAAGCAAAAACAAAATCTAAATGCAAAAGTGAGTTGCCTTCTACAACTTCATCCAATTCAGAATAAAACGTTTGTTTGTTTTTTTTAAGAGATTTGTCTGCAAAGTATAATTCTCAAAATAAGTCTTTTGTGGAGTCATCAAAGCATAATGAAGTGATATTTTATTTATTTTTAAAGCCCTGACCTAGTAGACCACCACATTTCCCAATTACTGGTTCCATTTCTAGTGTAGTGTATCACTGTCCATAAGATCAATGCCCTTCTGGACGCTGGTGGTTACATTTACTGCACAGGTTATTACAGTTTCAAAAGCACAAGATGGAGCAACTCCACCTTCTCAGCTTTATTAGCATTTACAGGCCTCATCCCATGGGAAAGCCTCTCCTAACCAGCCCTTGTTTCTGCCACTTATACCCCAAGCAACATGCACAAAACTGATGAGAAAAATATTTTCATTTTTAAATCAATTAATTTTATTATAGATCTTAAAATAGTTTATAAAAGTCAGAGTTGGATTTTCTCCTTTAATCTTCTATACATTAGATAATAGGTATAATATAATAGGTAGGGCAATAGGTATAATCTGTGGTATTACCATTTTGAGGCAATATACCTCAAACAACAGCCAAGAAATACAGTTTCTAAAGGTGAAATACAATGGGCTTCAAAGAGTTCGTGGAAAAATAGAATGGAGAGAACAAACAAGATGGCGGATCGGGTGGACGTATAGCAGAGAGCTCCACCAACAACAACACAGAATACCCGACCAAGCAGGCTCAGGGGATGGTCCCAGAACTCTGAACCACATATAAAGGAATACTTAGAAGGTTGGAAGGCTCACAGCTGGGGGAATTTGTGGC